GTACTCAAGCCTGGATGCCACACCAGCTGAGACCAGTGTCACAGTAAGTCTATTGTCAGAGGTGCCAGAATGCACTCTTTGTACAGTAGCTCCAGATTTATCCTGGTATTAGCAAGTCCTGAAAACAACCACAGCAGGTTTCAATCAACCAAAGCACAAACAGTTCTCACCAAAGGTGGGAGGGGAAATGATAAGGGTGACTTCATCCCTTCATGTTTAATGCAGACTATGACAGATGGAGGAACCATGGAGCATACTAATAAATGGGATAGGAAGGAGAGCCTCTAGGGTGGGAACACCTGACTGCTGAGTTATCCTTCATCCCAGCTACCTCTTGGGTGTTTGAACAGGAGTTACTTCATCTGCAGTCACAAGCAGACACCGTTCCTCCCACAAACTGGTTGTGCAGTGACTCCTGTCCAGCTCAGTGCTTCTCACACACAGCGCCTTCCCTTGTGTAAAGCTACTTCAGGTGTCCCCACACTTAAAAGTGAGATTCCTATTTCCAGCATCAGACTGGAACATGTTCACTGCCAATGGCTCTCTTACACTTCCATGCTCACAGCAACCCTGATTAACAAAGGTGCAAACTGTCCTTTTAGCACTGCGAGTAGTAAAATCAGAATTAAGAAACGAGAGCTTTCACAATTTTTTTTCCCTACTCCACAAATAAAATCTATGGCTATAAAATATGAATACATCTATAGAGGATGTTTGGTAAAATATTAATAAATCTATGGAATAATGGATTTATTGATTTTTTTTTGTTTCTTCTGGAAAGTATACCTCAGCTTCAATTTTGGATGAACATATTCATTGCACCTACCAGATTAAGATTTGTCTCTGTTGATCTTCTAAAGGGGTAAATGAGCCCTTTAGCAGCCCCATGGCAGCCTGGCTAAACTGCTAATTGTGCTAAATTAATTATGGTTAGTTTGATAAATCTCCCCTACATTGTGCAATATAGATATAACTCAAGACAATGGAGCAGCAGTACCCTTTGATAACTGCACTTGAATCAGATTGTAGGTGAGTTCATGAGCTGCAGTACAGGAGAAACTGTTTGCTCCAGGCATCTCTGCAGAGAGATGGAGGTTGAATGAGAATAGAGGCAAATCATTCTGAAGGAGCTTTTTTTAGAGGGGCTTCAGACAGAAGGAAGAAAAAGATTTGGTAGAAGAGCAGATGTATAGGCGAGGGCTGAAAAAAGAAAAAACAACCACTGTCAGGAACATTTCTGCAGCCCAGCAGTCAGCTCTAACCCCAATCTCTTTTTCCATGCTCTCAGGACACTCCTAAAAAAGCAGCAGGAGCTGTGCACAGACAGAGATGGTTCCTTGCCTGGTCCTGCTTGAGCACACCACGGCCTGATCCCTGCACAGGGACTAAGCCCTGCAACAAGGCTGGGGCAGCCCAGAGGTTAGACAGAGGAAATGTCCTACAGGGAAGGCTTTTCCCTGCATCACTAGATCAGACCAGCACTCATGCAGGAGGCATAATTAAAACACAGTGCATTGACAGATAGCTGCTTAATGAAAAAATTAACGAACCAGCTCTGGAAGATACAAATCTAAGGAAAAACAAACAACACACTGGTGCCCAGTCTGACAGGCTATCACAAAAAATTGTTTTCATTATTTAAACACTGTTTTGTCCTTTCTAACACTTACTGTGATGTGCATTTTTTCAATTTTTCATGCAGTCTACACCCTTGAAGCCCTGCTCCATGTGGCTCTGGGGAGAAAACGTTCAGTCCAGGCTCTACCTGCAGTGACAAAAAATGTATTTCCAGGCAGAGGTGGGCAAAAGGCACACGTTCCACTTTTCAGCCTACTTACCTACACCAAAAGAAAATCTAAAAGAGAATGATGTGGGAGATGAGAATTAGCACCATCTCACTGAGGAAGGAGATTTCTAGCTGGCCTATGCAAAAAAAGCCAGGAGTAACTTCAGTTCATTAACTCAGCATAAACCATCTACCTCTTTTCTGTTGTACTATTTTTTTCTGCCAGATTAGTGAGCTGAATAAGCATAGAGAGGGTCCTACAGGTGCCAGGGCTTGGATAAATGGCAGGATCTTAAATGTTGGACTGGAAGCTTAGTGAGCAGTAGGCATTAAGGAGATCTTACCCTGTCTGGGGGTACCGTTAGTCTGTAAAATTGGTGAGACAGGGATTGCACTTCAGCACTTCTGTGCACTTTTTGATCTGTACTTACATCTGTGGGAGACAGAATTTATAATACAACCAGAATAAAGTACAAGCTGTGATGAACACACACCACCACCTCTACACAGGAGTATAATATAATCTCTACAATATACTTGGTAGATGGATGTAAAAAGTGGTGGTCAAGTTTATATACAGGAGCTGCTGTTCCTGCAGGATCAGTGACACTTGTGAATTGTGCATAGATCCTCCCAGAAGTAGGTTTAACATCTGATGGGTTGGCTCCAGTTGAAGTACAAGCCATTTTCTGCTCCTTTGGTTGTGGCCAAGTGGACTGGACAGAGATCTCCTCCAGCCTTCACAGAGGACACCTGGCCTCCCTGGGACCATCTTAGCAGGACTGTGCTAATCCTGACCTCCTGCCTGCCAAGGGGAATGGCAGAATCCCCTGCAAACACCCTCTCCTACTTACTGTACCTATTGTCAGTGGCAGAGAAGTGTCTCAAAGGTGCACAAACAGAACAGGCTTTCAGGTTTCTCCAACACCAGTTTAACAATCTCACACTGCCCTCCAGACTGGCCTGGGGTAGGGGCCACAGCCACACATCCACTTGCAGCATGAAAGCAAACAGTCTCCTTGGTGCCACTCAGCCCAGGAATGAGTCACAGCCATGGCCATGGCTTTGCCCTGTTCCAGAGAGTCCCAGCATACACATTTGTCACTTGCTGACCATACACTCAGAGATTTTATCTTTTTCTGTTTTTTTTTTTTCTTTTTTTTTTTTTTTTTTTTTTTCCAGATAGTGAAGCTTATGGTGTAAGCTTCTCTATATGGTGTATAGCTTATTAGCTAACATCTTCCTGGTGCTGTGGGAATTACTATATCCAATGCTTTTAGAGCAGGTATTTGTACTGCTTTTACCTGCCACTCTCCATATCGATCAATTGCTGCTTTCAGGAATTTATTTCTACCATATTACAAAGATCACCTTACTTCAAATCCACTCTGTCTCCTGGTTACGTGTTAGCAGGAGAAGTATGGCTTGTGTTGCATTTTCTTAGACTATTATTCTGTATTAAAAGAAGATTAATTATAATGACTTCGCTTAAAATGTCATGGTGCAGTGAGACGATTTTCAGTTCCCCTAATTTAAGGTACTTAAAGCTACTCCTCCTGTTATGTCCTGTGTTTGCATTATGTATATTTTTTTCTTCAGTAATTTTTCCTTCTGGTGAAGTCTGCTGAGTAACAGCCCTGGAGCCTGCAGGCTCACATCTGCAAGCAGCTCTCCCTCGCCAGTACTCTGAGTGTCCCCTGGGAAGGGTGACTGCCAAAGGAGCAGCCTCGAGGAGGAAAACTTTCCCCAGGACCATCCCCCACCCCTGCCAGGCTTGGGCAGAGACACATGGGCAACTCAGTATAGGGAGAGAAATTTAAAATGAACCCTCTGCCAGGTAAAACATTACAAACAACAAATAATAAACAGTCTGCTCTCAAATATAAGAGAGTGAAGAATGCTTGTTTATAATCTCGTCTGGTACAGAAACAATATAATATATAGTGTTATACTGCATGATATATAGGATGTTTCAATGGGGTTTCAGTGTCTGTAAACAAAACTTCAAAAGAACAACTGTTTTCCAGCACTTATTATGAGGTACATTCTTCCCTTACAAGGTCCCCACACCTAAATTCCAAATACTGGATCAAAAAGTGTGGTGACCTTAATTCAAACCTTCCACTTCTCAATGCATTCTCACACTGAAATTTAAAAGCTTCTGCTAATCGTTTTTTTACAAAATAATAAAAATTTGAAAGTCACCTAAACACAGTCATTATTGCTTGGCTGTTTGCTGTTTTAGAAAGAAATCTGGTCAGAAGGGAACACTTGAGCATTGCAGTCACACTAACAGGAGATATTTGTCCATGGTGAAGACCTCCCTAAAGACAGCAGCAATACATCATAGGTAAATTTAATCTATTGCATCACTAATTTGACACTCCCAGCAGCCTGCAGAGACTTCCCAGGGACTTGGCACTGACCCAACTCATCTCCTGCCTTATCCATGGTAGCATGCCAATCAAAGATGAAGTGGGAAGGAAAACTTTGGAAAATGCCACCACATAAATGGAAAACAATGGAAAGTTCCTAGTTTCGGTTAATTTCAGAAATTGTCCAAGAATCTAGCATCAGCAAGCTTTCAACTTGATGATGAAGTGAAAAAACAAAGTAAAATGAAAAAAAAAATTCTTAGCTGATGGGAAGATTATCTATTTATATATATATATATATAAATTCATGGAGATATAGTAAGTTACTGCCAATAAAGTGAGTGCTGTTAACTGCAGAGTATCCAGGATGTGTTATTTGTTTATATTAATGAAGAAAAAAAAATCCAGCAAATTGGGAGCATGGTGCAGAGAGAAACTTCCTGGGTCATAAAGTCCAGACTATGAGTATCCCAGGCACCACATAATTGGTTCCTTTTCATCTTAGTTATCTCTGGTCTCCTAGATTGATGCGGAGAGAATCTAAAACAGGAGATATTAGCAATCAGAAGGTAAAAAAAATGACTGTATCATAAGCAAAGCCACACCAGCACTGAGAGCAGCCACAAACATAACAATATGTAAGGCTCAGACAGGTAAGGCAAAGACTAAAGTGAATGAAAAGTTTGATTGATTTTTGAAGAAATGTGCTGTGGTCTCAACACAGCTGTAGCACAGCAGTGGCAGAAGGGCTCCTGGGCAGGGCACCGAAAGAGGGACCAGGGATGGGGGCTGTTTGGTGCCTCACTCCCTTTGTGCTCTGGGGCTTCTTCCACTCCTACCTGATGGTGTGTGGACACTCTCCACTCGTAGAGTTTCAGCCCATGGTGATGAAATGCTCAGCTTAATATAACCAGAGGTTGACAGGGATGGGAGCACAGCTGTATTCTGCAGGGATAAACCACGACAAAAGATGTGATTCACTGCTTTTACCAAGTGGTTCACCATCACTGTAGCAGGCATCAGAGTCCATCCTCTCTTCCCTGTCCTGCACTAAGCTGCAGGGTTGTGTTTCCATTCAGTCTTCTTACCTCCATCACCTTTAATCACCTCTAATTCACCTCTGTGGAAACTGAGATTTGGGAACTCAGTTCTCCTTGGGTAGAATGCAAATCAAAGTCTTTCTCTTTTGGCAAATGAAAGCCTCATGTCTTTTAGAAGAAGGGAAGGACAGCGGAAAGCAATAGCAAACTGCATGAGGCAGAGGGAATTGATTGCAACCAGCCAAATGTAATTGCATTGTGGAGGACATTTAATATTTCAACTTGTTCTTTGCTGTATCAGGAGAGCAAAGAATATCAACATATGAGGAGAGGCTGCAATGTCTCTTGATTTGAACTGTAAATGCCCACAAGCAAAACCATGAGGCACTCTCAGATAATCTGAAGTGCTGTTGACTGAATGTATGTGGCCCAGACTGCAGGGAGAACCAGAAAGCCACTGGACCTGCTTGGAGACAGCACTGGCCCAAAACCATCATGGCAGGCCCCCAGCACAGCAGGTATTTAATCCAATTCCAGTAACTAATTTCTCTCTGTCTCCTTCACTCCTGCGTAGGTACAAACACACTGGCAAAGGGCTCTCAAACCCTTGCAAGGAGGAAAGATCTTTGCATCCTACAGTCTTAAATGGCCCTACCCTCAAAGCCAGACCTTATAACTCTGACTGGACCAACTTTTCTGTAGCACTTTGGCCACCTACCACAAAAATGTTGCTCCCTGAGGTGGATCAGAGCTGGCTCAAGCTACAGTTTACATCGCAGAGGGAATAATTGCCCCAAGAGCTCCATATGCTCATCCTTTCTGGCAGCCTAAAGCTGCCAAACACCTCTCTGTTTGCCTTGATCACTTCCACGCTCACTCAGCCAACTGCAATCCAGCTGCACATATTAATTATTGAAAAAGAGGGGGAGATTTACTCATTTTTCCAGATGATTAATCAGCTAGTCAGGCATAACACCACCCATGCTATTGTAATTGCAGTCAAATAATAATGTTATATATACTGCAATCATAGCCATCATCAAACACCGGAGGAGCCTGGTAATATAAGCAATGTCATCTGTTCACAGTCTCTACAACCTGAAATTATCTAGAATCTGGGACAAATTCTTAAAGATAGCTCATGAGATCAAGGTCTTGGTAGGAAGACTGGAAACCAACCTGTGATGGAAGCCAAAACAAGAGAGGGTTTTTGCACAGATTTGGGGACAAGGATGCAAATCCCTTCCAGGTTTGATCTTCCTGACTCGGTGGTACACATGTGCAGACAGGAACTGGTCAAGAGGTCAGTGCACTACAAAATGCTGTTGCAAGCACTGCCCCACTCCCTGCTGCTGGGACATGTTCCCCCAGCCCTGAGCATGCTGCTCATCCCAGGGTGTGAGGGTGGAAGCCACCCCTCACCACCTAATGGAGAAGAGACAGGCAGGGCCAAGCTCAAAAGCATTCCATGCATCCCAAACCTTCTCTCAAGAGTGACCACCATAAAGGTGATCTGGAGAGAGAAGACAGATATCTTGGGTGATTACTCCCTTAAAATAAACCACAGTCTTCCTTTTGTTATCCACTCTGGTCTTGAAGCAACTAATGAATAGCTAAGACAGGGAATTTGTTTAACAGGATTTACCAGCTTTGAATCCTTATTTATAGCTCTTCCTGGCTGGCTGAGTAAGTACCCCAGCCATTAGGATACCTTCTCACTAATTCTCCATGCACAGTTGGTCATCTCATCTCACTGACCTTGTCACTGAACTAACTGCAGTGAGTCTCTGCTAAATTTCTGTTCACTCATTCTCTTCATTCAGATCTCAAACCAAAACCATAAAGATATGAATGTTTAGACCCCAGTCCTATTGCTCAGCAGCCACAATGTGCATTTTTTCTCTGCAGTCTCCATTTCACACAGGATCAATACCTCCTCCAACTTTCTAAACTAGCAAACTTCTGAGAAGGGATCCTAGTCTGGGATCCTGAAACTGGGCTGCAGCAAGGAGCAGTTTTCACTGCTCATATATTCATATGAGTATCCAAAGTATGTATTTACATGGGAATGCAGGTGAGGGTGCCCACAGTCCAGCTCTTGCATAAACACAGTGACCAAGAGTGCAGTCCCCAAAGCCACACACAAACGCATGGTAGGCAAGGTCACTGCCTACCCAACTGTCTCAACCCATCTCAGATTCCAAAGCCACTTTAAAACACCTCGTGCACTTACACAAGTGTTTTGAACTCATCATAAGTTTGGACCAAGCACCTGACTTCTGTCTCACACTCAAAATAGGCTCAACAAAGAATATTTGGCTGTCAGCCTTGTAGCACTGTATCTTGCATCTTAGCACTGAAATGAAAAGACTTGATGATGTAGCCAGAGCCTAGAAGAAAGAATATAATGAAGAAGCAGCATGAGAACTTACAGTCATCACAGCAGGTGTAAAAAAGTGTCTTCTGGGTTGTTACTTTTTTTTTTCCAGTGCATATTTTGTCCAAGGCTGGTGGTATTCACTTGTTGAGCAGCTTTTTGGTGGTCTGCGGGAAGCTGATCGGTCTTCTCAGTGGGGCAGTTTTAGTTGGGAACAGATAATTCAAGACAAAGGCTCTCAGGCTGTTGTCTGGCTTACAAGCACTGGCTGAGCCTGCTCAGGGCCTGCCTTCCAGTGGAACTGACACAGGGATCTTTTCTCGGCTAAGTAATGAGCTGTATTGATTTTCCTCAAAAAGAAAATTGGACTTTTACAAACAACACAACAAGCTGCTTGAGTCAGGATGTTCCTGAAGGGATCTTGTGACCACCACAGGCTCTTGTGCTTATCATGAAAGAGAGAGAAAAAAAACCAAAAAAAACTCAGTGGGTTTGCTCTGCAAGGGCGGGTTACACAGTCAAAAGCAAATCTCCTTCTTAATACCTTGGACAAGTACCAGACTAACATACCCTGCAGAGGCACTTAGTGTCATTTATTCATTGGAAAAGCATCTGCATGAACAACTTTGTGCTTGTTCTTGTGAGTCAATGCCCAAAGACAGCACCAGGAGAACACATCTCTCTCCAACTTTTTCCCAGTCTCATGGAAATCAACCCTCAGCAGCAAGGAGCACTGGGCCACTCCATTTAGGCCACCTGGTAGATCACTGCTGTTCATCTGGGCAAAATAACTGCAAGAGTTGAGCCCCTGGCAACATCGGTCTGCTCTTCCCTGACCTGTTGAGCATTTTGGACCTTCTGAGGAAGCCTCATCACACAGCAGAATACAGGGGATTGTCATCTTCATTTACACCAGACTATTCAAGTCTGGCCAGCATAGGTTTAGTTCTTACCTCCTAAAGCTTGAAATTACTAGCTATAATCTCCATTCCAATCTCCAGACCTACAGCATGTTCCTGAAGCTGATCTGCAAGGAGAAGGACATTCAGCCAACCTCTAAACAGTCAGTGGAATACAACTCCTGCCCCAGTACCACTCCAAAGGTTCTGGTGGCCTGGTACAGAGCACAGAGCTGCACACCCAGGACCTGGCTGTGTGCACCAGCTCACTCAGGCTCACCTGGACACCTCTGTCCCCTCACTCTGCTCCCCACTTGCCAGAAAATCCATCTCTCTTGCAGAGGGTGCCACTCTCTGTGCACCCTTCCACCCAAGCCTGGGCACCCTGACATGCAGGGATGCAAAGGCAAATCTTCTTCCTCTGCTAAAAGGGATCATTGCAGAGCATCTGAAGGAATAAATCTAACCAAGATGTGACAAGCTGCTCTAATGAGGCCAGGCTGCCCTCAGGAACCAAACCCCAGCAGGGTTTGCACTGTGCCCCAGCCCTTTGGGGCTGCCACATCCTCACACCAACACCAGTGCCACCTCCAGTCCCCAGCTACGTGCTTGCAGCCCCCAGGAGGCACCCCCAGCACCAAGGCAGGCAGGAAGGCAGGGGGGCATTCCCTGGATGTCCAATCCCAAGGCTTTGCCATGCAGGGCAGCCTCAGGCATCCACTGCTTCCAATGGCCCCAGAAGGCAGCAAGACACCCACGCAAAGCTGGAGGCAGCTCCAGCCTTGCTCTCATCTGTGATGAGGCAACACCCAAGAGTCTGACTGCTAAATGCCACGGCATCCAATTGTTCTGTGCAGTTTGACTCAGAGATCACATGAGTCCTAGCTCTGTCTGAAATTATATGTCTTTGGACTCTGAAATTAAGTACTTATGGGCAATAATCCCTCTGAACAGGCATGGACACTATAGAAACCTACAGAGAAAAAAAAAAAAAGAAACGTCATCAAAGTTTGCAAAATTAGAAAAATCAATAGCAGTAAGCTCAGCAGGGAAAAGAAGTGTTAATTTTGCATTGGTAAATGGGAATTACAAGAAAATAGAAAATACATAAAGTGTAAATTCAAAGTCTTAAAAACACAATTAAAAGAAGTAGCTGACACACTTACCTGGGCCATAAAGGAATGCAATTAAAACCACAAAATAGGCTTTTCTAATATTTTCCATATTAGTAATTTTTGTGTATTATTTAGTGCATTATATAACCTGGAGAAATATTAAGATCTCTCCAGTAAACCAATACTTTATTATTTCATTTTAACACATGAGAGGAAGAAAGTTTTACAAGTCCTCTGGCTCATAAAACAGGATATTTTCCTCCCTAATGGGATAAATAGAGATCACAGCAGCAAGCAAACTAGAAGTAGCCATAGCTGACTTAACTTGAAACACAAGAGCTCCAGTGATGAGAGTAAAAATGAGCACCACATTGTAAAGATGTGCTCAGGCCCCAGCTGTCTGCCTGACCCAGCTCCTGCATGGTGCATTACCCCCAGGAACCAGGACAA